TGCCTGGCAGGCCATAGGCTGCGCCTGCAGGACAGGTACTGCTGCAATTGGAGTTTAAAAGTTTAAGGGTTTAGGGAACAGGGTTTAGGGTTAAGGGTCAAGGGTTAGGAATTAAGGTTACGTGTCTGTCTGGGGTTAGGAATTGTGGTTTAGGGTTAAAGGTTTAGGGTGTGGGGTTAGGAATTAAGGTTTAGGGTTAAAGGTTTAGGGTGTGGGGTTAGGAATTAAGGTTAAGGGTTTACGGCTTTGAGTTAGGGTTAAGGGTTTCGGATGACAAGGGTTGAGGGTCTTAGGGTTAGAAGGGGTTATGCAGCTATGCAGCAGAATACAAGGCTTTCGTGGGGGCTAATAATCCTTTACCCCTAATATTCACCCCCCAACACTGTCAGGGGCCTAAGCTACCTTAAGATTATTTTTTTGGGGAAGACTACTTTTAAAATGGGCCACCTACCAATGAACCTCAAGTTCACTGGAGGATACATCAAATGCGCACTTGGTTAATTAATTGAATAGCTAATAAATTACGATCTGATGATAGTCACAACTGTTTATTCAAATTCCATGGAGCTTAAAAGGACTTTGCGGGCAGTCTTATCTAATTCTTTCCAAATAAACACCCTAATATACAACGTTTTTCCGGGCCGCGGATTGTTGAATATTAGGGCGCAGACGTTGTTTAATATTAGGGGGAAGCGACTACATAGGGTAATATAGGCGTTAGGCAATCAAGTGAAAACGCGTTGGGTCCCTTTCAAGGGATTGTGTAGTCAGGGTTCTATGTGTTGTTACGGGGGTTATGTCGGGATCATAGTGTACCTCAAGTTTATGTCCCCGTGCGTCGTGTCCCCTACTTGGAAACATAAGGGACCAATGGGAATATGACCCCTGTAATGTGAGCCATAGTCTAAGTTGCTACTTGGACGGACAAAAGTCTTGGTCATTGGCAGGGGAGACAGTCGATCGGGTGTCGACGAGTCCATTTCCCCCCTATAATACTACCCCATATAATTCCTTTTAAGGAGTTAACCTAAGCACTAAACCCTGATAATCCCCTATAAAGTTCCCGCTTCAGGAAATTAGACCATAGCTAATGTAAAGGAGATGAACAGGGGAGATGACAAGGAGCATCCCAACAGCCTGAATTAAGAATACCCCAATGCAGGAGTGGTTTAGGGTTGAAGGGTTTAGGGGTTTAGGGTTTAGGTTGGGTACTGCCCCCCCTCAGTAGCGGTTGGATAATAATTATAATATGGTTATATATAGCCCTATATAGGACCCCTGATATAAACTGTTACTGGGGGGTGCAGTACCCAAGGTCTAGGGTTTGGTGTTTGCCCTGAGGGTTTAGAGCTGAAGGTGGCTCTCCAGTAGAATTGAGACTTGATTGGAAAAGAAAAGCGACAATGAAATGGAAACTGGGCTTATGTGGAAGTTTCCCTAAATTACTGTTCTCAAAATGGGGGAAACTTATATAGGGCCCCGTATTATAATAGGAACCCAAATATAGGACCCCGTATTGACAGTAATTTAGGACAATCCCCATGTATGGGCTGTAGGGTCGGGCCCTTAACAAATCCAAAGGGGCCTTGGCCATAATGATACAGCTTATACGAAGAATATGCTGGAACAACAATTCGGGATTTTCCGGCTTCTAGTTAGCTAAGAAATCCTAAACCCTTTGGTTTCGGGTTTAGGCGTCTTAGAGGGGTAGTGGTAAGTTATTTGTGGCGTAACCAGCTAATGAAACGCGCATCTTACTTATTAAAACCCTGGAACAGACTTTGCCCACCGGATGCAGAAGACTGAAAACCCAATTCAGAAAGCCTAAACCAGTGAAACATATTTGCCTCCCAAGTACCCAAACATGAAATGGAATTTGCTGAAGTCCTACAAGACCACATACGAACCTACTTGAACCCAAAGCTGTATTACATGAGCTATAGTCTAAACTCCTAGTATCCCCCTTAATAACCCCTATAGTAGTCCCCTATATAATCCCCTATATAACCCCCTTTAAGGAGTTCAGTCTATGGCTCACATGGAAACTCGGATTTGTTGGGCGTTTCCCCACAAGCCTGCATGGACGCGACGGGCCCCGGCGTGCTGAGAATCTGCCATTGTCCTTCCAGGAATACTGATTTACTGGGTTGCCGTTAAGGCACTTAAATTAAGTTACTATATTGGGGAAACCCTTTTATTTACAATATATACCCATTATGGTAACTTAATTTAAGTTCCTTAACAGCAACCCAGACTAGGGTTTAGGGGGGTCCCAGCTTGGCAGAGTTTGGGAACTACATTAGCATGTGAGCTATAGGCTAAACTTGTAGTATCCCCCTTGATAACCCCTATAATACTCCCCTACATAATTATATAAGCCCTTACAAGCAATTTAGACTGTAGCCACTGGGTTTGGAATTCCGTTTTGGATGGGAGAGCTGGGTGCTCCCAGAATCAAGATGATCGAGGGCCGTTTTACAAGCAGGCCCCCAGCATTTCTTTTTGACACTTAGGGACCATGCTGGCTTCCACAGGGTTCAACGGGTTGGAGATAAGCTCGGCCGCTTCAATCAAGAAGAAGATACGCTCGACAAGTGAGGCCAAGAACATCAGATTGTGGCAAGGGAACCTTCTGCAGCAGATGATGTTGGCAGGTCTAAAAGACAGGTCCGCCTGGCCAAAATGCAGGCAGAATGCAGGGTTCGGGGTCATAGGCAGCCCCGACAAACTCGGGCCAAGAGACCACCAAGTATGAATGACAAAGTGCAACAAATGCTGTAGATGCCTTGCCATCCTTGCCTCTCAGTCTGTAGCTTCGAGCATGAGGCGCGGAAGCTTGGCACTGGGCCCTCCACAAACTCCAAAAGCCCGGAACCTTCGCACCCCAAAACAAACCTCACGTTGCCGAAGACTCGTTTGAAGTGCTTAGATAGTAGTTTCCATTTTCTCTTCCAATATCCCTATATAACCGCTATATTGCCCTCATGCAACCCTATATAATAGTGACATAGTGCAAACCCACTTGGGCTGTCAGGTTCAGAGGGCTCCGGGGATAGGGCAACAACCCCTGGTGAGGTCAACCAGCCCAGAAGAAGTCTCTAGGGATAATGGAAAAGAAAATGGAAACTACTTTTTCACAGGGGTAATACTGGTATTTATCATATATCACACAAAACTAAAGTTGAACTTCAAGCGATGTACAAACGATCTAGTTTACTGCTTGAGTCTGTCCATTTCCCATGTGCGCATATGCAAAGGTTGGGTATCTAGATAACCCTGCAGAAGTCCAGTCCTGAGTGCAAAAATTGAAGACATGCTCGTGGCACACTCCCATGCGACGGCACAAGCAAAGAGGATGTATAAAGATAGTGTAAACGAAGCTGGAAACTACTGCTTACTACTACTTGGGGTTTGTAGTTTATAGGGCTAGCGTTTCTCCCAGAAGTCCTGTCGTCCCTGTTGGGCTCTCCAGATACGGTGGCGGTGCCTCCCCAAGAAAAACGTCAGGTTCTTTTGAGAGTGAGATACGGATCCTTGGAACGCCAAATCACCCAAAGGCTAGACTTTAGAGTTTTGCTTAGGTTCCTGTCATCAGTTTCTCAATCAGTGCTCCACTGAGGTTTGGGGTGCCGCGCCTAGCCTGGGGGATGAGTGCTATCAAAGACAATGTCAGGTTTCAAGGTCTCGGATCCTTGTAACTTGGCAAGGGGTTGCTCCGGAGGTCTTTAAACTCGACTGTGCTGGCCCAAAAAAACAGCTTGCAAAGACAAATGAGATATGCATGCATTACTTGCAATCTGGCAGGCACCTCTTGGGTACTGTATTGGATTGTGGGCTGCAACAGTCGGACTTCCAGGATTCAATCGTGAGGGTGAAAGGTGGGATGTGTGCTGGCCGAGAGGAGGCCTGTGCATGTGGCAACAAATCTAGTGGGCTACATGGACGGTCTCGCCCTGGGACATCTCCAATAGTGGACACGATGGGGTCTATAATCTGTAAGCAAAGGCACGTGGACTAAGTTTCGCTCTAGGAACTTTTTTCATAAGTCAGGGGCATCTGCGCGTTGACTGTAACTTAGGCTCTAAAAAAAATCCGCGAGGGGGGCACACGGGAAACGCAGCGGTTTTGAGTCGCACAATTCAGCCCCTGCTTGAGCACCCACCGCGTATCTTGCTCTTCAAGGTTACATCTCACTGTTTGGGGCCGGGCGGCGGCCCGAGAACCCCCACCAGAACGCCTCGCCCTAGCATCCTAAAGTCAAGCCAGAATTCCTTAACCCCCAAACCACCGAAAGCGCTAGAACCGCAAGAAGCCCTTCGCCTCGTCCCAAGCTCGAGGGGCCACGCTGACGTCGGCAGACAAGAAACCCTGCGTTAGCTCTGTTGCTTGGGCACACACTGGACTTCAAGCACTGCGGGTTAGGGTTCTTAATTCTTTCAAAGGGAAGAACAAGGTCTACGTGATTATAGGGTTTAGGGTTTCTCAAAGTACAGACCACATGGATTTATGAGGATGATGGGATTTCTATTGTTAGCTTTTACTTCTGGTTGCAGCGGCTGCGGCGGTTGCTGCTGCTGCTGCTGCTGCTGCTGCTGCTGCTGCTGCTGCTGCTGCTGCTTGTGCTTGCCGCCATTCAGACTGAGAGCACGTCTGCCGCGAGTGTGCGGCATTTGTTCACTTTTGCTCTCAGCTCTCCTGTCCGAAGCAGCTTGCAACAGGGCGCGTCTGCATGCGCCCATGCCCTTGGTGGACAGTGCGTGGAACCGGCGGCGATTGTTGTGAAGCTGCGCTTCCAACATCAGCCTATCTCCAAGAATCATGGAGCCCTGAAAGCACAGCACACAACGCAAAATACTTGCTCAGATTGAGGTGAGCCTTGCCATCTGTCTGATTTGAGATCCACAATGAAGAGACTTACTGGATGCGATGGGTTCCGACAAGTCCTGAGCTTCAAGCTACATTCATGGTCCAGAGTGGCTAGCGGCTAGTAACTGCTCAAATCAGCGGCCCTCCCAATCAATCTGGCGAAGCAGACTGCCATGCCGCTGCCAATCCGCAGGACAGATATCACAGGAACCTCCCAAAGCCCTATGGCAAAAGCTGCAGGAGAAGTTTTTGCCTGTGCATCTGACACCATGCCTGCAGGGGCTCCTGCTGCAAAAGGGGCAGTCCGGAGGTCTGGCCTCGGGGTTAGGCTCGATGAGGCAAAGCCTGGCAGTGGCCTGGTAAGGGGAGTTTGGATGGCCAAAAACCCTGAAGTCGCGAGATATCTGAAGTAGCCTTCTGGTCTGTTCTGTGCACATCTCTTCGAAGACGGCGTCAGGATCCTGGCCCCTTGAAACTCTCGATACGATGATCTGCTGCTCGGCGCCGTCGGGCAGGGGGATCCGGAGAACAGTGATATTCTGGTCTGAGACTTCTTTGGCAGTCTCGGTGCCCTGGAGCTCCTCAGGTCCCTTGAAGAGCCGCAGCCACTTCGGCATCGGAGTATGACCAAACCAAGTGCCCCATGTGTTTTGCGGTTCATGCGGGATCCCCATCTTCACTCTGATCTTGTGCAGCATAGATGCTACCAGCGTATGATCAACACTCTCAATGGTAAGCACCTCGCCAGCCAGCGCAGAAAGCCTCAAATTGATGCTTTCACCACAGGTATACCGACTTGGCAGTGCAGGAAGCTTGTTGAAACTCTTGCAGATTTTGTCAATCTCGCTGTTGCCATCATCCTCGCTGTCAGAATCGGCCCACTTGCGTGCCCGGTTGCATCTTGCCACAAGCCTTGTAGTCACGCCTGCTTGGCTGGCCAAGACGGACGTGGAAGGAACGTCGGCAGCTACCCCGGGCCCCTCTGAGTTGCAGGCCACGTCAGGTAACTCCCGCGTTGGCTTCTCGAAAGCACTGTCCATAGCTGCCATTTCGAGATGCTTCTGCTGTGGCTGGGGCTGACTCACTGACCTACAACACGAGCCGCAGCTGCCACGGCATAACTGCTTGGCTACGGCTGATCATGCACTGCTTTGCTTGCACAAGTGCATAAGTCTACCATCGCAAGGTGCGCAATCATGTCACGATAGGGTCATGGAACTTTCCGAACATCATGGGCCCTCAATGTATCTCAATGTAACAAGGCAGAACCTGCTACTATCACAGAATCTGGTATAGCATGGCCTCAGCTTTGTAGCCGGCGCTAAAGCAATCCCCCCCAACAGTGATCAAAATTTCTGATGATACCCAGAACCTTTTGAAGTGGAATCAATGTCTTTTGTCCTAAGGTGCGGGACATCCAGTAGAAAGCACCAATCACTTCAGGAGATCAAAAGAGCCCAAAGCAAAAGTTGAGGGATCGTGATTTTGAGAAGGCTCCTGAAATTCCTAGAGGCTGTCAGCAAACCAAGCCTGGTCAGAACTTGCGAGCAGATTCTGTATCCTCCTTTGAGTACAAGTGCTTAGTAGAAATGACATAGTGAAGCAGAAATGGACCCCTAACTGCCCTCTAGGCATAGAAATATATATGTCTATGTATGTACATTGATGTCTGTGTGTGTGTGTGTATGCATGCGGGCTCGGGTGAAAACCCTATGGCCACTCTTCCTATCCCATTTTAAACCTTATCGACATTTTTATTGCTTATCGTTTTACAGG